GTAGATGTACATGTACAATGTAGTGGTACAGTAGTATACAAGTTTACTAGTACATTGTGTGATTGCGTGTTAGCTTAAAGAACAGTAATGGCATCACCATTAGTGGTATCACTCCAAAGCTCTCTCTGCTGTTTCATTTATTATGAACAATTCACAGAGTTAGTGTTTATTAGATGCGATAGTAAATTAAATGACTAAGTGCATGTAAAGTGAACAACTATAATTGTAATTTACTTTATTTTTACACTTATTGAATATCTAGTACTTATTAATGTACTTAAGCACTCTGGAGAATGCTTGTTCTTGTACTTAAGCACTTATGTTAAAGCTAAGGATTGTGCTTGTGCTGGTACTTCCAACACATTTAAGTGCTTGTCTTTGTGTTTAAGTACATTTCCTAGTACTTGACCCCATATCTGCTAGGCTATTATAGGCACATAGGCTATAGGCTATAATAGCTGTCCTATAATATTATAGGACATAGGCTATTTATAGTACGAAATGGGCTTAAATGGCCATGCATTTTCCTTGCTCATTTGCTGGCACAATAAATGAAATATAGTTCTTGCTTCATCATTGCTTTACACTGTACATAATTTGTTTCTTCTCTGCCCTATAGACAGTATGCCATTAGATGATGTTTATGAGAAAGGAATGAATCTAGCAACAAAGATATACCAGTACACTCAAGATGGATCAGCAGAGACTACAGGAAAATACATTATAATTCACGAAGACACACCCACGATGCCTAAAATAGCACTATTAGACTCAAAGAAGGTATTTAGCATGTATTTATATGTACATGTACATTACATGTACATACAAATAGCTTTAAGTATTGTCTAAAATGAAACTCTGTATTCTTTGTTGCATGTATAAAGTACATGTACTATATTCACATGCATGGTATTACATGTATATACATTGCCTTTATTAACTGGTTTATTTCTATTTGATTTTCCCAAAGAATCTTCATCTGGCTATATTACCATTTAATTCCCATCGTACTACATTTGTACACATTACCTGTAGAAGGTTAATTGTTTCAACTATAGTACATGTACACATGTACATGTGTATATAGTAATTAAATGCATGTTGGTAGCATCTGCTACTAATTGCTCCTAATGTAAACCCACAATAGCAATACATGGTACTAATGATAAAATACATTGAGACACCTGCCACTTGGTATATGTATATTATACAACCATTTCTCTCTTATTTCTCATTCACTGTTCTTTATCACATTCTCTGTTACCATATATTATACCTGTAGATCCTACTCTTTGATTTCTGCACTGAGGTCTATGTTTGGATTGGTAAAAAGTCTCCTCCTTCTTTCAGAAAGCCAGCCATGATTAAAGCTAGGAAGGTGTTTGATGGTCAGTGTGTCCCTCCATCTTTTAAGCCGATTGCTGCTGGAGGGAGTAAAGGTGGTAAGCCTGGTCCTACTGGGAGTCCGGTTCGGAAAATCTCTTCTACTGCTAGTGGAGTAGGGATCAGATCTTCAGGGAAATTCTCAAAGTAAGTGATCAGAATTAAGAGTACATATTCTAGGTGATGTAAGATGTACATGTACAGTATAGTCTCTCTTAATAGACACTCTCTATAGCATACACCTCCATTTAACGGACAGCACCTAGTGTACCAATTACATTCCTTACTGTATAAAATAACCTCTACTTAATGTATTTAATTCTTATTAATAATTTAGTTTACTCTTATCCTTTTTATTCCTCCTCCTACCCCTCCCCCACTCCCTCTCTCTCATAAAAGACAGAGACACGGTACTCTTAATTCAAGCACAAGACGGAAGAGCATTCGAGAGAGGAAACCCTCCAAAGGAGACCTCGAGCCCAGACCAGACTGGTCTCTCTTCACTCGTGTCAACGAAGGGTCTGAGAATATTCTCTTTAGAGAGAAGTTCTCTGATTGGCCGGAACCAGGACGCATTATTAAAATGAAAGGACATGAATCATCGGGTGAAGTCGTCAAGGTACTTCATACATGTACATGTACATGTGCAATTTACATGTATAATTGTACGTGTATTTTGAATGCTTTTTTTCTAATGCTTGTGCTTGTAATGCAAAAGATTAAGAATTTGTGATAGGAAATGGCTTAAGCGTTCACCATAACAATTAAACTTATTTAAAATTATGTGCAATGCACACTACATGTACTTTAAAATTTGCTACATGTACAATAATTTGATTATGCTCAAATTTAAAAGACCACCATTATGCATTACATGTACATGTACACTCCGCAGTATAATTGAGTATATTGTGCATGTCAGTATATTATTGGTATATTATTAGTATATTATTGGTATATTTTGTAGCCTCCTCCTATGCCTGAATTACAAGCAGCTGATGTATCTGTGATGCTTAAAGCCTCCAAACCATTCGAAGGTCTCAGACTCGATGGGGAGAACATCCACAGAGGACGAGGGAACTATCAGGTCTCCCGCTCAACCTTCGCCTGCAATAGAGTGAGGTCTCAGAAAGTCGAGAAATATCGTGTGAAGGATTCGGATAGTTTCCTGATTAACGAGGAGGACAATCACTTGTTCTATAGCGGTGAAGGGTATATTATAAGATGGAGCTATATAATAACTGTAGTGAGAGAATTGGAGGGTTTAACACCTGGGAAAGGTGAGGTCACGTACATGTAATTATACATATATTATAATGTACATGTAGATATAATGGTATGTGTGTATACATATGTATGTGTTATCATTAATTTTTATTTTATTCTTATATATACTGTATAGTGGAAAATTTTCATAGCCGCAAATTCGTTCAAAATCAATTTCATTAGTTTCTATTTTTGGCCATCTTAAACCGTATTAAATCAATTTTATTTTCTTGAATTTTTAAAATACTCAAAATCCACAAAAATTTTGTGGCCACGAAACTTTTCTGCTATATACAGTATACATATACATGTATTTCATTTCTTTATATTACATGCACATTACATTAGGTATGTTTGCTATGGATAGACAGTATCAAAAGTCTAAGAGTAAGTCCCCGAGTCCACCAGAGAAGAAGAAAGAAGCTAACCCTGAGGATTGCTCAAGTGATGAAGATGTTGTTGAATCAGATGAAGAGTGCCAGAGGGTACTGGAGTCAGGGGGAAGAGATCGCTGTGCTTATTTCTTCTGGCAAGGTATTCCATTATAACTACTGTATAGTGGGGAAATTTTGGAGGGAGTTAAATTTTGCAAATTTGGCATTTTGATAGCCATTTGCCAAAATAAAATCCACTATTTTGAGCCATTATATGCATGCTCAATGGCACGTGGCCACAAATTCACCAAATTAAAATTCGTCAATCACCAGAATTTAGCAATTTTCCAAATTTTAGTCTCTCAAAAATTTCCCACTCTAATAGTACATGTACATGTAGAACAAATGTATTTTGTACATGAATGCTGAACAATATTAATGAAATATACATTCCTATTCACCTTGCTTCTATATTTCACTCACTCTCTCTCTCTCCCTCCCTCTCTCTCTCTTCTCCTTATAAGGTCATCATGCTTCTATCAATGAGAAAGGTGCGACTGCCATCATGACAGTTGAGATGGACAAAGAGAAAGGGCCACAGGTACGTGTTGTGCAGGGGACAGAGCATCCAGCATTCCTTCAACTCTTCAATGGGTCAATGATCATCATGTACGGAAAATCGGACAATAATGAAATATCGAAATGCAAAAATGGTAAGTTTAGTATTATTAACACATGTACAAATACATGTACATGTACAATACCAGTTTTTAATTGTGGGAAAATTCTTTTTGTAAATACGTGTGTATTTATTCTACTGTACATGTACTTGTATAATATTTTATTACATTTGTAGGCTATAGATTGTACTATTGTGGTGGCTTTGCCAAGAAGGAAGCTTATTTGTTAGAAATCAATACTGATGGGTGAGTAATATCAACTACATGTACATGTACGTTTGCATTGTCAAGAGTCCATAATCTTGAAAGAAGAGCATGACTAATAATTATGATAATAATTACATTTACATGTATAAATACTGCTATTCAAAAACTTCTCTAGCAACAAGGGAGGTCATACAGTACAACAATAGTGTGGCTCGGGGCTGAGCCCCTTAATGTTTTACATTCTTCTAGTTATTATTATTATTATTATTATTATTATTTCTCTCTCAGTGTTTCTCTCTCATTCTGCTTGAGGTCTCGCGGTTGCTATGTAATACAGGATGGTTCTTCCAAGAGTGTGTTTGCATGGGCTGGTAGACAGACCAGTGATAGGTATAGACAGATAGCAAGACACACAGCTAGGAAACTAAAGAAAAAGTTAGTAATTATATAATACTTTAACTACATGTACATTATATACTGATGTACATGTACATGAATATTAACTCACTAGTACCAGTATGCATACTGTACATAACTTACTATTAGTACATAGTATGAGATCCATATGTCTACTCTACATGTACATGTAAGTATGCATCTTTATAATGTTTCATTTTTTATCCTCTTCCTTCTTTTTTCTTATTCTCCCCCCCCTCTCTCCACCATTCCTCCCTCAGATTGGGTTACACTGTATCACAACAAACTCTTGAAGGTGAAGAGTGCCCTGCAGTAAAGCGCTTAATGGGAGATAAACTAGAATATGCACCACTAACCTTCCCTGCCTCTTACACCCCAAGACTGTTCCAACTCTCAGGATCCACTGGTTGGTTTAGAGCCACTGAAGAGACTCATGTGGCCTGCCCTGAGGATATTTCCATTGTTCCTGATCACTTTCCATTCACACAAGAAACAATATATACTGCTGTGCAACCAAGTATACCCTCAATTAGTTTTAATTTTTTTCATTACATCTACATCTATGTCAGTCTACATGTATTGTATACATGTATAAGTTAGATCGACCCAATTTATACATGCATACAATACATGTACATGTAGATTGAGATAGTAAAATGTGCAAATCTATTTTAGGGTCCTTAAATGGACCTGCATATTTGTCGTTCCTGCTGGAATATAATCCCATCTGTTTACATGTAGTAGAGTTTTTATTATACTGTCAATGTGCATGTATATTTTTGACCAACAATTCACATTTTTACTTATAATGTATACTGTTTAATGTATAATGTATAATGTATACAATATACTGCTGTACAACCAGGTATAGCCTCAATTAGTTTTTATATTACTTATGTACATGTACATGTACCTCTATCTCAATTGATATGTATAAAACACGTACATGTAAGTTACAATGTAGATCCTAAAAGTTTACCTGCAGATCCTGCATATTTTATTATACATGTGTATTTGTCATTTCTGCTGGAATATTATTAGCCCATTTGTATATTAGAGATTTTATTGTTCTATTCGATTTACATGTATATTTTTTGACCAACAATTCACATTTTCACTCATGTATGTATACCACTTGTAGCTGTGTTTCTAATTGATGCCCATTTTGTCCTATACCTCTGGTTTGGTTGGTGGCCTGAACAGAAGAATGCTTTATTAAGGGAAAAGAATGCTTTCTCTGGCACAGCAATGTCACGCTGGGCACAAGAAAAGAAACTATCACTTGAAACAGCTCTTAACTACGCTAAAGGTATAATTACACTGTACTTGTACATGTACATGTACTGTACATGTTGCATGTAGAATTGTATGTCATGTACCATAAACGTAAAAAATTTTGTGGTGTAAATTTTCGAATTTTTTGGAATTTTTCCATAAAAATTAATTTTTGTGCATTAAAAATTTTGTGGTAGGCATTATACCCAATCTTATTAATTTATTGACCACGTGGCGACATGGCGACACCTGCAGAGATGCCTACCTTCACTATCTTTTCAGTTATCAGGGGCTACCATGTATATAAGGAGATCTGGGAAGCAGAGGAAGGAGAGATGCTAAAGTGTGGAAGAGAGACGAGTAATATTTATGATCACTACGCGTGGCTGTCACGTGGCCTATTGAATTAACCACCACACCCTTGCATTAAAATTTTGTGGATCTGTCTGGCCCACGAAAAACGAAAATTTATCCGCCACGAAAATTTTTACGTTTACAGTATTATAGACATTATTAGATCTAGAAATAGATTTTGGGAGACCAATTTGACTAAAAATAGGAGCTACAATGTAATGTAATGGTTTCCTGCAAAACATGCTAAATGCAGCTAAAAAGCATGTCGATATAACATATGGAGCAACTTTAAAAATTCATAAAAAATTCAAATTTGATCAGAATCAGCTCAAACTTTCTACACAACATAAACACATATATATGTATTAGGAAAAAATATTAAAATGGAGAATTCTCTCCTTTTCAATTTTGGCGAAATTTGGTCTGAGACCATGTACTATAGTACAGGGACTTTTACCTGATTTTGGAGCAACTTTAAAAATTCATAAAAAATTCAAATTTGATCGGAATCAGCTCAAACTTTCTACGCAACATAAGTACATGTATATGTATCAGGAAAAAATATAAAAATGGAGAATTGTTTCTTTTTTAATTTTGGTGAAATTTGGCCCGAGACCGTGTACTATAGTACAGGGACTTTTACTCAATTTTGGAGCAACTTTAAGAGTAGTTATGGATGTTATTGTACATGTATAATTTAATGAACTAATTGATTATTTTATTAATTTTATTTACTTATTTAGAGAGTGGGAGGAGTCCATTACCCACATTATATGTGGTGTCTGCTGGCTCTGAAGATTTGGAATTTATAAACTTATTTCCTTATTGGAGAGACAACCCTGATGTAGTGAAACTAAACAATGTAAGTTAGATTAACCTACAGTGTACATGTACATGTCACTAATAATTGAAATGAAATAATACAATGTATCTACATGTACATGTATATGATGTAGCAACTTTTAATGTGTCCAATTGTGCCTCGTTTATTTTTTAAATATTTTTATTTACAGTGTCCTTAACAATTATCCTTAATCTTAATATAAATGCATTGTACATTTTTATACTTAATTTTTAACAGGCACAGGCTGGTGATGGTATAATTGTTAGAAGTCGAAGATCAGGCGAAGAAGAATTTTCTAAATACACGAGAACTTCTTATAGTTTGGAGGAGCTAAAGAAGAGACCAGAGGAACTGAATCATAATAAACTGGAGACTTATCTCTCTGACAAGGACTTTCAAGTAAGAGTTATTTTAAATTACATTTGTCTAGTTTTTAATTACATCTTATTTACACGTATAATGACGTATTGATGGTACTGTACATGTACATGTATTTTTTATTGTTAATACTGAATGTTCTGTTGCTCTAAAATCTGCCCAAAAACCATGTACTGTTATAATAGTACAGGGTCCTGGGTTACAATAAATTAAAAATAGAAATAAAAAATAATTTTTTTTAATCATAGGATATTTTTAAAATGTCTAAAGACGAATTTTCATTATTACCAACCTGGAAGCAAGTCAATCACAAAAAGTCAATCGGAATATTTTAACTCATTGAATAATTAAATTAATGTCATCTGTCCTATAATGATTATTATTATTGTTGTTTAATATGCAATAATCACAACGTTGTTCACACATTTTTAATGTTTTTTTGTTATAATTATAATAATTATTCTTTAACGTTATTTTTGCTTGAAAGCAACTTGTAAACTGTCAATTAATTCTTCTGGAGGTGGTAATTCATGCAACAAGGACATCACTTAGATGTGTTAGGCATGCAAACCTTAGGGCTAAGTACCATAATTTAATTTGGAGCATAATAGGGCAAGTTATTGTACTGGCATAATGGGAGCACGCAATTCAATATAAAGGTCAAAGAAGTCAGCCATACTACTACAAAATTGAGTTGTATTTAAAAGGTTTTATAGTGAATATATTATGTAGCACACAATATTATTTTCGGCAGAGATGGTGCACCATCATGCACAAAAGCAGCTCATGAAGATTATCAATTAGTCCAGCTGCTGCTGTGGCAGTCCACTGCATGAGATGACATGAACTCCAACAGTGCAAGTTCATTTCTCAAAAGAATAAGGTGATTAGACTCCAAAATAATTATATATTATTTCTAGAAAATAAAGGAATGAAATTTGTAAGAACTATAGCTCCAGCAGTCAGCATTGCTGTGACAAGTCAT